TGGAAAATTTAAGGAGTTATTATTATGTACGTTTAGATGATACAACCGGTAGGATACTTTTGCACGTTACTGTACATCAAGAATACTGGAAATCAAGATTGGGTAATTTGTCGTTCTTTTCCATGCCTTCTCCATAATAGTAACAAATGGCAAGGTTGTGTATTGCTTTTCGATATAGCCTTATCGCTTTCTGGTCATTTCTTTTCACACCTTCTCCGACTTTGTAACAATCTCCTACAGAGCTATTATTTCTTGATAAATTCTATATAATAGGTGGTTGATTGCACATATGCACACCCATTTCCCATCCCTAGCTCTGGTACTGGTTTCACCTCTAAGTTCAGCAGAGGTACTTGGAGGTTGCCATCTGTTCAACCAACTCAATGCTACCATTTGCATTATCCTGAAACTTGGCCAGGATGTCATTACATACTATGACAGGTAGACCAATTAACTGAGCTAGGCGATGATTAAGGGCAAGGGAATCTTCTTCATTCTGGAATCTATTAAATTCTCTAGAATCAGCCAGTTCGGATGGAGGAGGTAGGTTGACTTGTTGGATTTTTTTGAAGAAACGATTCCTTCTTCCAGTTAGGTCTTCAGTATCACGCTTTCTTTTTTTATCTGAAATGAACAGTTAATATGTATGAGATAAGTAAAAACATGACAGGTGCCGATTTTAATACCAAACGTTCGCTCAGATGCTACACTTATTCTCCCTCCATTGTTCCTACTCTAGTTAACCCAAATGCATAAATAATATGTCTCTTCTTTCCTCCCAGTTAATCTTTTGAAAGAGTTTACGTCTTATAATACAAAAAACCCATCTCTTCTATGAATGAAAACTATGACCGCTCTACCATGTGTGCAGCAGCATGAACCAAAAAAGTTCACTCTAGCTATATACTGTAACGTCTTCCCAATAAAACTATATTATTATGTCTGCTCTACCCTATGTACACACTACTCTATGTCCCCAACGCCCGAGTCACAAAGTCGTTACCTGTCTGAGTAGCTCCAAGCAACGCGTCACCCCACTTCGCTCTTTCCTTTAACCAGGAATCTTCCCGCCGCTCCAGTGTGTCTCTCTCCCCTTGGTAGCTTTCCGCTGCACCCTTCCTCAGCGCCTCTAACCTGTCCAGTTTATTGTTAGCTCGATCCAACTCTCTTTGCATGTAAGTGGTGTCCATGATGTTTGACATACACTCCGTAAAGCGCTAATATATATACTGATCAGTGGTTCAATGTAACTATTGTTCCTCTGTATGCAGAATGTGACCAATGATAATCAATGCGCAGAAATTCGCGTTTGTCTAATGATAATGATGATGAATATAAACCATAATGTGATTAATATAGGACTATCTCTATATAAAAACATTAATATGAAACTAATTTTCATTTACATTAAGTCCACCATGGAACCAAAGAATTACAGCGCCATTAGAAGGAGAAAAAATTGCTCCATACATTTTTAAATGCGCGCTCTCGAAATATACAGTAAATAATAGTAAAAGCACCAGAGTGATTGCATGAGAGGAAAATACTCGGACCCAAAGCCATTTATGAGTATAACCTATTCTTTGGTCACTTTCTTGACTTTCCGGTTTAAACAATGCGCCAGCACAATTGAGTTGGCTATTACAGATTAGGCAATTTACTAATAAACCAAGAACGAAGCCAATTAATGCTCTGATGAAGAATTCGCCTGTGACTATGTAAACATTTTTCGCAAGACGTAATTGATGGAATTGTTTGATATATTTTGTTTATATTTGACGGTATTTATTGTTGGTTTTCTGAAAGTAAGCGACTAGTGCTTGCTTCTATAATTACGTCATTGATTAAGCCACTAGTATATTACAGTATTAGATCACATCGCGCGCAGCACATCTTCTCTTTCTAACTAAAGAAAAAAAGAAATACCGACTGTAGAAGAAACGCGCAAAGAACTGAACAATGCGAAGAAGCAGCTGGAGAAGGTGGAGACGGAGTTAAAGGAAGATACGGAGGGCGGCTGACGTGGTTGGATAGGACTGCGGCGGAGCGGGCCGAGTGGAAAGAGAAGGATGAACTGAAGGCAGAGAAGAAGCAGCTGGTCGGCGTTACAAATTGTAACGCATACACAATTTTTTCGAAAAAATATAATAATTTTGGAAGTGACGGGTTATTTTTTTTTATTGAGTAAACATTACAAATTAGGGTTACGAATTATGTGGGGTAACGCGGTCCTTTGTAGTGGTAAAAGTGTTGGCAGAAGGGGTGATCTTTTGCACTGCAAGGTAATATTCCATAAGTCGACTCTGTCGCAAAAAAAAATAAAATAAAATAAAATTAAGTGCGGTATATGAAATACATAAAGCAGATGAGACATCAAACTTTCAATCCATACTTTAAACATGTAAACTTTTTCGATGACCTCTCTAAGGACATATAATTGGTCCTTTGAGTTCGGAATACTGAATTCGGTTAGTTTATCAACGACATATATGCCCATATTTTGATGCATAACATAGATCGTAAATGTTCTTTCTAAGGTAATGAAAGAATAGGTCAACAATAGCTTGCTTTAATATATGATATTAAATCCGTATCACTTACGATATACAATGATTCCGTAAGATTCCAAGGAAGTGAGTTGTTGTTCTTTTGCTCCACGTTGTAAGTGATGTTGGCGTTGGTAAAATATAGACATCTGCATGCATTTAAAAACTTTCTCTGTGTCTTCATTTAGTTTTGTAATGTCGTCATAAATGGCACTTCCGACAACTTCTAAGAAACCGATCTCAAAGATAGTTGCGTTAACATTGGTTGTATAGATTCCGTCTTGATAACAACCAATTTGAATTCCTTGTTTGTATTGCCGAGTTTCGTTTCGTTGATTTTCGTTTTCGATTTCTCCCCTATGCAAGGAAAAAAACCTGATAGGCAGAAGACCCAACTAAAGGAAATTTTCTCAACAAGAATGAATCTCAAACTCACGTCTTCACCCGAATTAGGTCCATGATATCATCAAAAACTTTTGCAATTATTGGATTGACAAAATCTTCACGATAAGAAAGTTCTGTTTGCTCATGATCCAATAATAAGTTAATAGGTGATCTGAAAAGAAATAAACTAAAAAATGATACCAATTAAAATTAGATATATACAATGTAAAATAACAATAATAATGAATACTTACAATCGTTTATAAACGTCTTGGATCCACAGTATATCAAAGTGTTCTTTATGTACAAAAATGCCTGTATATGGTACCACAAGAATATCCTTGATGGCGTCATCCAACGAAATTGTGTCAAATGCCGATTTGTTTTCAAAATGGGCTTGATACTTTTTTAAAAGAGGCTGTAAATCTTTTTCCCATTTATTTAGACGGATTTTCTTTATTTCGCATGAAGACTCAAACTACAAGAAATTAAACAAAGCTGTTAAAAATTTCGGATGGAAGCTAAACTTGCATGAAAAAAATTTTTTTGATACCGAATTCCAGATCTTTTTTAAGAGGTTCTTTTCAGATTCTGTTAGCTTATTAACGGGATCCGAGGCATCTCGCACTGAAAGATTTACAACCCTATACTTAAAGAGAGGACATTTGATATGTTGTATCTTTTCAATAATGCTATGAACTTCTTCCGTCACGTTCTGTGAATTCGAAGATATGACATAATCAGAGATCAGGTGAGATAAACTGCAACTTTAAATTTATGCAAGGTTCACTACCTCATGAGATAGTTGGATGTTTTTTGTGTAAGTATCTTCGTTATCGACGTTTTCCATAATAACTCCTTCGTGATCAGGAATTGAATAATGATCCATCGAATTTTGTTCCTGTTATGATTTGTGTTATGTATACATCAGAAAGTATTATAAAAAAATATTGTTGCGACCTGAATATTGCACAAACACAATTGCCTTTTGGTGTTCAGGAGTTCTTTGGAAATAGTCATCGATCCTAGTCCGTTTTTGGACTTTATCATTGTCCTAAGAATTAAAATTGCAATTAGTTAGAAACAAAAATAGTTTAGTTAAAAAAAAAACTACATGTCTTTACTTTTTCTTGATTAGTTCTCTTTGGTGTAGATTTTACATTGAACACTCCACCACTTATGCTTCCATTTGCACCATTGATTGTTGCCCCACTTAAAAAAGTTCGATGATCAATATGAACCCGCATACATGAACGGGTCTTTTCCCATTCTCTGGCCCTTTTTTTATCTAATTTGTTATCCTAAAACAATAATTTCACAAATTAGTAGTATTCTTGAATATCTAACTTTCACATTGCTATCTAACTTTCATTTCGACATCAGACAATCGCGAAGATCATCTGTGTCTGACAGTGTCAGTAGTCCCAAAGACTTTTAAACATCAGGCAATCCCAAAGACCACCTGCGCCCCAACACTGTCTTTGTGGCTCGACCCAAAGTCTTGAATGATAGTTATCGCAAAGATCCCTACCACGCCACTTAAAAACTTTCAAACTTGCCAGTTTGTAATTGTTAAGTAATTTCCAAGCCCTTTCGCGTCTTTGACCTCTGCAATGATTTCAAGGCATTTAAGGTATTTTTCTATTTTCTTAGCATAAGGTTCCAAGTCACAACTTTTAAGAAAGCCAAGGATGTTCCATTCCGAGGCCTTTTGCTCGAAATATTTATGTAACTATTTACGGAAGTGAACGAAAAGGTAAAAGGTTGGATTGCGAAAGTGCAAAGTTTATCAGCATTAACTTTCATACCGTTTCAGATGTGGACATGATTATTGATCGAGTTTAGAGTAGGTGAGGAGGATTTTGTCACATTATATATTCAAAGAAAACGCGTACGAATTGTTTACACGCGTTGGGATACGCTAGCCTTGTATATCCAAGCTGTTCCATAGTGACGAGAGAGATTTTTTTTTTCAAGGGGAAATAATTCTGATTTGGCGATATTTTAAACTTGCATATCACGTGAATAAAGCAAATGACTATTCATTTCCGAGCATCGCAACATAAACTTTTAGCAGATTTTTGACTTTCTTTTGTTCAGGTTCGAAAAAGATAAACTATTTAACTGCCAGATATCGAATAACTGATTTATATTCAATTACGACAAATTGGTGGGATTTTTTAATTCATTTTTGACACCACATGTTTCATACAACAGCAGTATCAACATGGTCTCAGAGATGATGACCTTATAGTTTCATATGATTATCTCCTTGAGATACAGAGATTGATTGGATGGCAAAGTGGCAGCTGACTCCAGTTGATACCCAATTTCTGAAAACGGCATATGATATGCTTTGATGATTCAACTTTTGTTGTCGATACAAAGACTGTTGAGATGCAGGAAGCTCTTAGAAGGCTCACACGTTCTGGCTTGGTAACTTATTCAGGCAGAAGCCATTTACAGTTTGCAGCTCCAGTTGTCCGAATCATCATGGGCCAGTGCCTGTATACTTCACCATTAACTTTGGTGTCAGATGTAAGCTTTGAAGCTTTTCTGCAAACCAGCATCGACCTTCAGAATTGCGCAAATCTCTTAGCTATGGAACAAACACAACCAGCTACTTGAGAGAGCATGGCAGAAAGCATGGATGATGGTTGCAAGCACAGCCATTCCAGGGAGTCATACAACGATTCAGTTCATCTGGATTTCTTGATTTATATATCAATGGGGGACTCAAATGGGGAGTGGAGTTATGCGAGAGGGTCGAAGGATGGGTGATCATGTTGACCGTTTTAGGTCAACTGGTAGGTATGGACAAATTCCTTTCTCAAGGTGGGCTATTATCAACTTCTGCCATAATTCCTTGAGGCCAAACTCCAAGACGTTGGATCCGAATGTTTGGTATGCTTTATACGTGGGGTGTCTGAAAAGTTTTGACAATGTTTCTAACTAATTGCAATTTTAATTCTTAGGACGATGATAAAGTCCAAAAACGGACTAGGATTGATGATTATTTCCAAAGAACTCCTGAACACCAAAAGGCAATTGTGTTTATGCAATATTCAGGTCGCAACAATATTTTTTATAATACTTTCTGATGTATACATAACACAAATCATGTTACGGTCGGGTGGTCTGGGGTTTGGGAGAGCAATTAATCTTTCGCGTAGGGGTGTTCTTCCGACCGGGGGATGT